GTCGCAAAGATTTTTCATGCGACAGATGTGAGAAGAAATTTGTGAAAAAATCGAGTTTGTTTACACACCAAAAATTGGTACACAAAGATCGCGCAGATTTCCCGTGTAACAAGTGTGAGAAGAAATTTGAAAATAAAACATCTTTACTTAAGCACAACAAAATATTTCACGAAATTTTCAAAGATTACTTATGTGAAATGTGCGCGAAACGATTTGGAAATAAACGGAGTTTGCTCTTGCACATAAAGACAGTACATGACAACTGCGAAAAAAAAATTGGACAAAAATCAGGTTTATGTAAATCCCAAAAGAAAGTACACGAAGTTTCCAAAGATTTCGTTTGCGACAAGTGTGACAAGAAGTTTGAAAGAAAATCAAATTTGCTCATACACCAAAAGGCAGTACATGATGGTCGTAAAGATTTTGAATGTGACAAGTGTGAAAAAAAATTTGGAAGAAAATCATTTTTGCTCATACACCAAACGACTGTTCACGATGGTCGCAAAGATTTCGCATGCGATTTGTGCGAAAAGAAGTTTGGAACTCGAAGCAATGTAATAAAACACCGAAAGACATTTCACGAAGGTCGCAAAGATTACACATGCGACAAGTGCGAGAAGAAATTTGGAGATAAGTACCATTTGCTCAGACACCAAAGAATAGTCCATGATGGTCGCAAAGATTACGCATGTGATCATTGCGAGCTGGTATTTGGAGAAAAATCGAAATTGACCAGACACCAAAGATCAGTCCATGATGGTCGCAAAGATTACGTATGTGACATTTGCGAGCAAAATTTTGGACAAAAATCAGATTTGCTCAAACACCAAAGAACAGTCCACGAAGGTCGTAAAGATTTTGAATGTGACAAGTGTGAAAAAAAATTTGGAAGAAAATCATTTTTGCTCACACACCAAACGACTGTTCACGATGGTCGCAAAGATTTCGCATGCCATTTGTGCGAAAAGAAATTTGGGGAACGAGGTACTTTGATTAAACATCAAAAAGGAGTTCACGAAGGTCGCAAAGATTTCGTTTGTGACAAGTGTGACAAGAAATTTGGGCAAAAATCTTCTTTGTCCAGACACCAAATGACCGTACACGCAGGTCGCAAAGATTTCGCATGCGATTTGTGCGAGAAGAAGTTCGGACAAAAATGGATTTTGCTCCAGCATCAAAAGACGGTTCACGAAAGTCGCAAAGACTACGCATGTAAAAATTGTGAAAAGAAATTTGGGGATTCAAGCACTTTGATCAGGCACAAAAAAACAGTCCATGAAAGTCGCAAAGATTACGCATGCGACAAGTGCGAAAAGAAATTTGGACTTAAACAGCACTTATTTGTTCACCAAAGAACAGTACACAACAGTCGCAAGGATTTGTCATGCGACACGCGTGACAAGAGATTTGGACTAAAAGCAGATTTTTTTCGACACCAAAAGGCAGTTCATGCAGGTCGATACACTTGTGACATGTGCGAGAAAAAATTCGGAAAAAAATCAGATTTTCTCAGACACCAAAAGACGGTACACGAAGGTCGCAAAGATTACGCGTGCGACAAGTGCGAAAAACAATTTGGGGTTAAAAGTGATTTGACCAAGCATCAGCAGAGAGTCCACGAAGGTCGCAAAGATTATGCTTGCAAAATGTGTGAGAAAAAATTTGGATATAATTGGCTTTTGCTAGACCACCTAAAGATAGTCCACGAAGGTCGCAAAGATTACTCGTGTGACAAATGCGAAAAGAAATTTGGAAGAAAAAGAGATATGCTTTGGCACCAAAGGAGAATACATGAAAATTGCAAAGATTACGCATGCGAAAAGTGCGAGAAAGAATTTGGTGGTAAATCAGATTTGTCAAGGCACCAAAGAACCGTACACGAAGGTCAGAAAAATTACGCATGCGATAACTGCGAACGGAAATTTGCAGAAAAATCGAAATTGATCAAACACCAAAGGACAATACACGAAGGTCGTAAAGATCACGTATGCGACCACTGTGACAAGAAGTTTGGAAATCGAAGCACTTTAATAATGCATCAGAAAACAATCCATGCAGATAGCAGAGACTATGTATCCGTACATTGCGAGAAGAAACTTGAACGAAAATAGAATTTGTTGTAACACCAAAAAACAGTACACGAAGGTCGAAAAGATGTCGCATGCCATCAGGGTGTCCATAATTACGCGTGCGACGAGTGTAAAACAAAATTCTGGGATCAAAGTGATTTGATTAAGCACCGCAAGACGGTCCACGAAGGTCGGAAAGATTATGCATGCGACATGTGTGGCAAGAAATTTGGACGTAAATCCGATTTGTCGAAACACCAAAAGACAGTACATGAGGGTCGCAAAGATTATGCATGTGACAAATGCGAAAAGGCATTTGGGGTTCAAAGCAATTTGCTAAAACACCAAAAGGCATTTCATGAAGGTTGCAAAGATTAGTCACGTGACAAAGGCGAGAAGAATTGGTGATTGACAATAGTAAATATGTGAAGATATTTGTACATTGTAATCGACAATAAATAAGCGTTTATTTTGTATCCTATTGTACTTTGCAATGCGTTTACAATAAATATAAAATTAATTTTTTTTTTCAGTTTTGCCCCTGCAGCAACACTTCCACAAAGCTTCTAAGAATCAACAAAGTCTCAAATTTTGCATTCTCTTTTATTTTCGCTATAATTTACTCTTTATCAATGCGTGCATTCGAAATTTCCATCCAATAGTCGTTGGAATTGTTAAAATGTTAAGATTTGTTAGATATTTTAAAAAATTCTTCCTGCAAAATGAAAAAGAGTTTTTGAGTATAGTACGTTACTGTTTATAGCTGTGGTAGAGGGGGAAATACAACCAATAACTATCTCAACTGACATTGGTCTCGTCACTTGCTTTCTTACCGGTAGTGTGTCTAGTCAATAACGAGCAGCTCATATCAATACCTTTGTGAGCAAATGTTTACGAATAGGTGAAATCCAGATACAGTGTTGGTTACGCGAGGCGTTTAACCTTAAATATTTCTTAAAAATTAGGGATGAAAACTTACAATTGAGCGAGTGATGGAGAGCCGTGGAAACATACTTTTTTCATTCGTGACATATCTTCCAAGCGATCGCTCCATCTAACTTACTAATTCTTTAGGGTAAAGGAAGAGCCGAAAGATACTTGGTCAGATGCAGGCGACGATTATAATTTTGATTCGGTGGACTCTTGTGAAGTCAAAAGCGTTGAAACATTCAAATTTTTTAAATTATCGGTGAGCTCAATGATTTCAATTATGTTTTTTGTGTTCTTGATTTCACGACCTTAACGCAATTTCAATTTCAGGACGATCAAATCAATGAAGATATTGCGATACGGGGAAAGATAAAAAAAGAAATTTTCGTAGATCTTGAGTGCAAAGGTGTTAAACTTGAACTGAATTATTTATCAACAACCGTTTGCAAAACTGAGTATCAAAGTTATCTACCAATTGCGAAAATTAAGAACCAAATTCAGACAAACCACGCGAATGAAAAAAGTTTAATAATTTTGATCAAGAAAGGTTTCGACTATGATAATGATTGCCAATTTCCGAAAAAATCCCAATCATCATTTGTGGAACAGATTCAGCTCAAAAGACACAAAATAACAGTACAGAATCGTATCAAACCTTTTGAATGTGATGTTTGTCACAAATTATTTGAATACCAGTATCTACTTAAAAGGCACAAAAATGGAGTACATGATAGAATCAAACCCTTTGAATGTGAAATTTGTCACAAATCGTTTGGATACAAGTATAGCCTCAAAATTCACGTGAATGAAACACATATTCGTAACAAACTCTTCAAGTGTAATGTTTGTCACAAATCATTTACAGTAAAAAGTAAACTCAACAGACACATAAATGCAGTACATGATCATAGCAAACCCTTCCAATGTGAAATTTGCCACAAATCATTTGGATACAAGAATGTACTCAAAAATCACATAAATTCAGTACACGATCGAAACACACTCTTTGATTGTAATGTTTGTCACAAATCATTTGGACGCAAAGATACCCTCAAGGCTCACGTAAAGAAAATACATAATAGGAGCAAACCTTTTGAATGTGAGATTTGACATGAATAATTTGTATCAAAAACTATTTTAAATGCTCACATAAATTCAGTACATTGCAAGAAACTATTCAAATTTGACATTTATTACAAATCATTGTCATGCAAAGGCATTCTGATAAGTCACATAAATGCAGCACCTGACTGTAACGATCCCTACTGTAAAGTTGCTTACAGGATATTTAGGTGCAGCACAGATTTCTGCAATCAGCGAGCTTCTGCAAACACGAGTACGTTACTTCATAATAGACAAAATTTCATAATAATCCTTAAATTTTGTAAAAAAATAAAAAAAAAAAACAAAATAATTCGAACTGTTATTTATTTTGTCGTGACTGACAAAACCTTATTCTAGACACTTCTACATTAATTAATATATAACAATATATTTTGGAAATCGCAATAAAACTAACGTTAAAAACATAGAACCAGCAAAATCCATCGTTAAAATTACTATGTGAAACAATTACATAACAATCCCAAACGTTTGGCCAAATTGCTACTCAGACATGGCGAGATCCGAATTTAGCCATTGAGAAAGGAGAGACTGTTCCACATTATTTTGCCAGAGAGACGGCGACGAACGCAAGAATCGAATCCCAATCCTAAGTTGGTATGGGAGGGGAGACGGGGCTTTCCCATGCGAGTATGCGACTCGCATCGTTCAGTTCAGCTTACGACGCTGCTCACAGTCGGCGCCACCAAAGAAAGAAGAAGAAGAAGAAGAAGCTTACGACGCCACACAGTAAACAAAGAAAGGTCGCATCGATAGCAGCACGATTCTTTTCTTTTGGCTTCGGCTTTGCAGTTACCCAAGTATCAAGTGATTATCGTGACAAAGAACAATTCTTCTAAATTTGTATGCGGTTGTGTAGTTTGTGTGCCACGTAAAAAAATGGCCAACGACTCGAAGTGTTTAAGAAAATTAGAAAGTATGCGAGAGGAGGTCGATTTGGAGATTGAAACTGAGCGATACAAATTTTTCTGTCGACTTTATGCCTTGGTCAAGGATTGGAGAGGCCAACTACCAGATCTCCGAGAAATTTTTCGGCGTGAAGAAATTGAGTGGCTTCTCACTGAAGATTTGAAGATTAATGAAAACCGCCAGACAAAGATGAGGTCAGGTTTATTCATCAAGTTTGTGATCAAGACCGGCTACAAGGACGTGCCCGACCTCGATGAAAATGGCCGGCCACTGTTGCGTCGCACAACGCCACTGCTTTGTGTTAATCAATTACGAATCGATCCTTTGTCATGCCACCCGGATGTCCAAGATCTGTTCAAAATATACGACAGGTACGACTTGAACTACATCGGCGAGATGGACTACACTCATTTTCATGTTGCCTGCGAGTATGGCTGTTACGATGTCGTTGAGAAATTTCTCGAGCTCGGCCAGGATCCGAGTTGCCTTTCGACTCATCCTTGGTATCCGACGCCGTTGCACTGTGCTCTGTCTCGGGGCAAATACGATTCAGACGGTTGTATGATAGGCTACAAGATCGTGGCCGATTTGCTGCTGAAACATGGCGCCAATCCGAATGTAGCTAACAGGTTGATTCAAGAGACACCTCTGCACATGATGTGCCAGAATCGATTCGAAGACAAATCGGCCAAATTCATGAGGATTTTTTTCGAAATCAACGACGCCAACAATCAAAAAGTTGATATCAATGCCAGGGACATGTCTGGTAAAACCCCACTACATTTGGCCATGGAGCACTTATGGGGTGCAGAAGTCGGCAAATTTCTGCTGAAAAGAGGTGCAGATCCCGATTTAGTGGATAACAATGGATCAACGCCTCTGATCGAGTTTTGCCGCCATCATGACGATTATGACTTGGCGAAGTTATTATTCGAGATTGCCGACTAGGGCGGAGCAAAAAAACACTTTTGTCGCCGATCGCTTTCTAATAGCAATAGAACGTTAGTATAACTCAAAAAAAGAGAAAAGCCACGAGGTAGGCGCATACAAATGATATCTTCAGTTAGCGCATGAAGCTCGAAGTTTGAATTTCGTAAAAACAATATAATCATGCTTCAGAAATGAATCACAGCAAAATCTCTCGGCTTCGAATAGACCGATCGGGCTGAAAGTTGCAGGGCTTGTTTTACATGTGAACACGAGTTTCTCTGTAAAATTTCAGCCCTCTAGGTGCCTCAGAAACAAAGATATAGTCATAGGAAGGTTGAAAAACGACGTTAGATTAATTTTTTTTTGTGCTATTTCTATCTTTGTACACCTGTAAGTTGCGTAATTTTGCTGCTATTGAAACGAAAGAGTAACCAATTTTTTCGTCTTTCAAAGACGTTTCCAACCGTATAAGTTTGTATAGGGGTTTTTAAATTTTTACAGAAGTTACAATATAAAAGGTCTAAACTTTTGTTTCACCATCGAAACTACATTTGTTATTTTTTTTTCTGTTTCTTAAAAGTTACACATTCTAGACAAACTTGAACCCCAATGATAGTTATCTGCTCTTAAAGAGCATAAAATTACCTTCAATTTGGTGTATGTAAAAAGTTTCTAAGTCCTCTAGAACCGAAGATACAGCTGTTTGAAGTTTTACTGAATATTGAAGTACTAAATCTGTGAATTTATCATAGACCGGATATGGTAAGATCATCACAGAATTTAATCTTGAATTTTCAATAAAACTTCAAACAGCTGTATCTTCGGTTCTAGAGGACTTAGAAACTTTTTACATACACCAAATTAAAGGTAATTTTATGCTCTTTAAGAGCATATAACTATCATTGGGGTTCAAGTTTGTCTAGAATGTGTAACTTTTAAGAAACAGAAAAAAAAATAACAAATGTAGTTTCGATGGTGACACAAAAGTTTAGACCTTTTATATTGTAACTTCTGTAAAAATTTAAAAACCCCTATACAAACTTATACGGTTGGAAACGTCTTTAAAAGACGAAAAAATTGGTTACTCTTTCGTTTCAATAGCAGCAAAATTACGCAACCTACAGGTGTACAAAGATAGAAATAGCACAAAAAAAAATTAATCTAACGTCGTTTTTCAACCTTCCTATGACTGTATCTTTGTTTCTAAGGCACCTAGAGGGCTAAAATTTTACAGAGAAACTCGTGTTCATATGTAAAACAAGCTTTGAAACTTTCAGCCCGATCGGTCTATTCGAAGCCGAGAGATTTTGCTGTGATTCATTTCTGAAGCATGATTATATTGTTTTTACGAAATTCAAACTTCGAGCTTCATGCGCTAACTGAAGATATCATTTGTATGCGCCTACCTCGTGGCTTTTCCCTTTTTTTGAGTTATACTAACGTTCTATTGCTATTAGAAAGCGATCGGCGACAAAAGGGTTTTTTTGCTCCGCCCTATTGCCGACGCCAAGCATCAAACGGTGCAGGTCGATAGACTTTTTTATGGTTATACACCACTGCATCTAGCTCTATTTGACAAATTCAAAAGGTTTGTAATAGCCGAATTGTTGCTGAGAAGAGGCGCTAATCCTAATTTAACTTGTGAATATGGATTGACTCCACTTCACATCATGATGGACCAATATTGCTATCGCGTTCATGATCGTTTAGAAATGGTGGTTGAAAAATTTTTTGATATAACTTACGCAAATGGTTACCGGGTCGATATCGACGCCCAGGACGCATGGGGTCAGACACCTCTTCATTTGGCCCTAGCCAATAAATGCAAGAAAGTAGCTGAATTGCTACTGGAATACGGCGCGGATCCAAACTTAGCCAATGCGGAGGGATTAACATCTTTGCATTATATCTGTCAATTAGACCAGCATGATCAATCGATCGAATTATTGAATGCATTTTTTGACATCAGCGACGCTTATCATCGAATCGACCTCGAAGTCGATGCTCAGGACAAATTGAACCGGACACCACTGAGATTAGCTTCGCTCAACGGTAACTATAAGATGAGCAAATTGTTACTGAAAAGAGGTGCAGATTTGAACTTGGCAGGCTTGAACCAATGGCAGGAACGTCTTATAGAGACAGAGGGATGATTAAGATATACTTCAAGGTTAACAAGAATTAACGTCAAACGGCAGAATGTAGTGCTGATTTATATCTAGATTAATATTCCTCCGTGAGTGACTTTGATGGCAGATTTGAAGCATATAAAAATTGTTTTAAATAAAAAGGAGTTGTAAATGTAATAAGTTGAGTTCCAGTATGTATGATGATTTCTGTAACAGTGAAATCTCTTTCTTTAGCAGTTTGTATTAATCTCATTCATTATAAAAAAGCCAATGATATTTATTTTAACTATTAATTTGAAGTCATGTTAAGGAAATTTAGAATTAATACTTTTTTTGACATCACAAGTTTGTCCAAATTATCAATTCATTTATCAGAATAAAATGTTTTTCAAAGTAAAAAAGTGATAATACTTTAATACCATGCTTATTTTCATTTTCAATACATACATCTTAATATATTAACATGTAAAATAGTCTAATTCCGACAGCATAATTATAATTCTACTGCAAGCTATACATTAACATTCCAAAATAAAAGGTATGTAAAAACCTAACACTTGACATATTACTTTCAAATCATTGTTAACAAAAACTTGTCAACCAATGTATAATTTTACTTATTTCTACATAAAGTTCAAAACTAAACTATTGATATCACTCTATAAATATAGACTAGACGAATGTAATGATTTATTTACTAAATTAAAAATGTTTTTAAAATGAACTAATTGAGGAGTTCGCATATAATACAGATTTTCATTTGTTTACAAACTAAATAGCTATGTTCTTGACATGTGTACCTGTAAAAAAAGTGTCAAATGTCGACAGTTTGTTGAGAATACTTCAAAAGTTACATGCACATCACTTATTCATTATAGGACAAAAAAAGGTGTGATTTATAAATTACTAGTCCAAAACTTGGTTGATTCCTTACTAATCATCGTTATCAGAAAATTGACAACAAAGTCGAGCTTACGATTTAAATCATTCCTGCATTTCGATAAGTTTTTAATCCTTTTCCTTTTGCAACTTAAGTTCAGCATGTAATGAATTCGTCATCGGGAAATGCGTTCTCAAAAACGTCGTGAGTATATATATCTCGAGTTTTGTAGCATGCGATATGTTTACAATTTACGTTATTGCTTGCGGGCGCACTGATCAATTCGTCTCGCAAGAATGTGTCGGTTCGCGGCCGGCCTACATCATTGCGCTGTGCAGTTCATTCAGTCCAGTTTGGACTTCGGCCTGTGCCACAACAAAGAAATATAGCTTATATCGTACTTAAACCAGTGATTCTCTTGAAGCGAATAAAATATTATATCCACCGATATACACTTGGCCCCGTGGCTCGCGGCCGCTAGTTTGCGACTCAATTGCTGCTGGAGAGTGGCGCCCATCAAAATTTGTCGAATGCAGACGGATTCTGTGACTCTTTTACACATCAATTTTTTTTTTAGGAACTTCTCTTTTACGCGTGACTTCATGGAGAAAAATTATGTACTTGTATAGAGCTCCTAACATAGTTGATAAATGTGCCCGTTTTAGAAATATCATGTAACTTTCAATTTCTGATTTTTGACTGAAACATTTCTTTTTCATGATTTTACTCTTTAATCATAGCAGAGTCAAAGAAGATTCACAAATATATATCTTCTTTGATATAGATTCAATTTCTATCGAAATGAATCAAAATAGTTACAGTTTCTTTTATATGATCAATCAAATCCGGATTAACTTGAAAGTTCTGAAGGGGGCAAGAACCAAGCTCAAAGCACCATTTTATGATTATAAAATTACTTCAAAAGGTTTACAGATTAATTACTGGACAAAATCGATATGCTTGTACTCTAATCAACTATGAAAAATATTGTCTCTAAAATAGGAATAAATAATCAACATTATACACTGCATGTTCAAACGCATAAACAGCCTTTTTTCTGAATAACTGAATTTTTTTTGTGTCTTGAATGATATTCGCTTCTCCAAAGTGTTCACAAATTTTCTCACTCAATATATTATTAAGACAATTACATATTATTGAAACAATAATTAAGACTTAGCGCAGACTTACACGTTGATGATTTATGCATAGAGCTACGAAATTCTAAAGATCCCTATAGTTATTTGGAGTTTCTTATACGAAAATGAATGTCGTATACGAATTTTCCCCTTAATAGCCAAATCCTTATAGAAATAGAATTTGTCACGAGAAAGACCTTTGCTATTACATAATGCATTTGCAGCGGTTTTGTATACGGTACATTTGTTGCAAGCATCTACCGCGTAAAATGAGGGATTTATGTACTTGATTTTAAAAGGCGAAAAAGTTATTCAAAGGAATCGTCGCCGCGTTAGAATTTTTAATTATTTTAATAGTCATGAGAAGATGGTATAAACATATCGACCTATATAAACAATATGATCATAAACGATTTTGATATCGTCATTTGAACGCTGATCAATGATCATGTTTATAGTCAAATCAAATCAGTTTGAATGTTGTCTTTCTTGATGAAACTAGCTACGATACGAAAAGATACATTTTACTCATTCAATTTTCTAGGCACTAAATAGAAAGATCCATCGTTTAATTTAAGCACCAAAATGGATAAAAGTGATAAGAAAGTCGAGAAAGTTACCTCGGAAAATAATTCAAGTGATCCCGACATTATTGTTTCAGATGACAAAGAATACATTTGTGATATTGACCAGAAGATATTCTCACTGGAATCAAGCATGCTAACTCACGGACACATAATTCACAATGAACAAATGGGTTACCCATGTGACCAGTGTAAGAAGAAATTTGTGAAAAGATCGATTTTGTTTGCGCACCAACAACTTGTACACAAAGATCAGGAAGATTTCACATGTGACAGCTACGAGAAGAAATTTGTGAAAAAATCTAGTTTGTTTCCGCAAAAAAAATTATTACACAAAGATCGGGAAGATTATGTATGCAACAAGTGCAAGAGCAAATTTGAAAATAAATCAACTTTACTTAAACACAAAAAAATATTCCACGAAGTTTTCACAGATTACTTATGTGAAACGTGTGCGAAGAGATTTAGAAATAAACAGAGTTTACTCTTGCACATAAAGACAGTACACGATAAGTGCGAAGAGAAATTTGAACAGCATCAATTGCTCACCTACCAACAGAAGGTACTCAAAGATCGCAAAGATTATGCATGCGACAATTGCGAGAAGAAATTCGGAGATAAACAACAATTGCTTAGACACCAAAAGATAGTCCACGAAGGTCGCAAAGATTACGCATGCGAAAATTGCGAGAAGAAATTTGGACTTAAGCGAAACTTGTTAAAGCACCAAAGGACCATACACGAGGGTCGCAAGGATTTTTCATGCGACACATGTGACAAGAGATTTGGACTAAAATCAGATTTGTTTCGACACCAAAATATAGTTCATGAAGGTCGAAAAGATCACGCTTGTGACAAGTGCGAGAAGAAATTCGGACGAAAATCGCATTTTCTCAGACACCAAAGGACAGTACACGAAGGTCGCAAAGATTACTCATGCGACAAATGCAATAGAAAATTTGGACATAAGCAGCCATTGCTTAATCACCAAAGAACAGTCCACGAAGGTCGCAAAGATTACCTGTGCGATAAATGCGAAAGAAAATTCGGATATAAATCAGATTTGTTAAAGCACCAAAGGACAGTGCACGAAGGTCGCAAAGATTACGCATGCGACAATTGCGAGAAGAAATTCGGATATAAACAACAATTGCTCAGACACCAAAAGATAGTCCACGAAGGTCGCAAAGATTATGCATGCGACAAATGCGAGAAGAAATTTGGACTCAAGTGTAATTTGCTCATTCACATAAGGACAGTCCATGAAAATATAAAAGATTACTCTTGCAACAAATGCGAGAAAAAATTTGGAATGAAGCAAAACTTGTTAAAGCACCAAAGGACAGTTCACGAAGGTCGCAAAGATTTTGCATAGGATAAGTGGAAGGAGAAACTTAGGCATAAATCTGATTTGTCCAGACACTAAATGACCGTACACGCAGGTCGAAAAGATTTCGCATGTCATAAATGCGAGAAAAAATTTAGACGAAAACTTTATTTGCTCAAACACCAAAAGGCATTTCATGAAAGTTGCAAAGATTAGTTATTTAGCAAAGACGAGAAGAACTGTTGATTGACAATAGTAAATATGTATAAATATTTGTACATACATTTTTCTAAAATTGTAATAAAAGTAGTGCCAAAAAAGATTAAGTTTTACGTGATATGAATACACTTTATTACATTGTTGTTGTGTTATTTTCTCGTGCATGTATACTAGTAATTACGACTCTCTGCTATTACTATGCATCGTATTTCGTTCCACAAGTTCACTGTCAAAATTCGAAGTCGATTTTTCTGTTGGTCTCACTAATTCTCCTGTAGTTTCTAATTGAATTAAGTTTTAGGTTTTATATCTGTCGCTATGTACAATCGGCAAATAATTTGAAGTCGAATCATCATCAAATATCTTAATCGACAATAAATAAGCGTTTATTTTGTATCCTATCGCACTTGCGTTGCATTGCGTTTACAATAAATATAAAATAAATATTTAGTTAACAAAATGACAAATTTTAAAATCACGTGAATGTTATTTAGTATCGTGTTTATTTTATTTATTTTGAGTTGTTTAAAAATGAAATAGAGTTTTTGAGTATAGAACGTTACTGCTTATAATTATGGTAGAGGGGGGAATACCACCAAGAAGCTATAATCACAACTGACATGGGTCTCGTCACTTGCTATATAATCGATTAATTCATTTTTAGGGCCTTTGCTGTCTGATTTGCTTTTAAAATAAATCCTGAAATTACAAAAGATCATAGCAGTGAAAGAGACTATGTTTGGCAATTCAATGCGCATAGTTACAACTGAGACATCCTTTCCATTGCGCTGCTATTCTAATAAAGTGCCGAGAGTCTGCGAGTTCGAACGTGTGACGTGTGTAGAGAGTTGGAACCTTTATGTAGTGCATCGTAT